GTTGGCGCCACGCACGATGCGGAAGTGGCCCCTCTCGCCCCAGGCCGGGCCCCAGGAGTTGGCCGCCGTCTGGGAATAAGGAGGGGCGGTGAGGAGGGGAGTGGCAGGGGGCAGGGGGAAAGGGAAAGGGAGAAGGAGACCCGCCTCACCCAGTATTTGATCGTCCTTCCGTCCGGCAGCGTCTCCTCTCCCCACCTGTGGGCAGAGCAGCGCGGGGCAGGGGGCTGAGTCCACAGCTCGCAGGAGCTCCAGCCTGGGCCCTCCACGTCCAGCCCCCAGTTGCCTTTGGAGAGGTGGGTATGCTCCTAGGACTTGGGCAAGTCTCTGTCCCTCTCCATATCTGTAAGTCTGTGCTCCCAAGTCCAGCATGTGAAGAGGCCCCAAGGGGACACAGGAAGGGGATGAGCAGCAGAGGGGACCTGGGTCTCCAGGGGACTCACATCCTAGGGCCCAGTTCCATAGGACCTCTCCCATCAGCCTGCCCTTCCTCGCTTGGGGAGCCAAGGAAGGGTGGGTGGGTGCTGCGGCCCAGAAGGAAGAGACTCCAAGAATGTGGGCCCCTTAGAGGCCCAATGCAAAGTATATTTCATTGTCCTATTACGTCAGATGTGGAAGCTGAGGCTGGGGGAGTGAACTGCCGGGGTCTCTCAGTGAGTCAGGCGGATTTAGGACAGGTGCTGAGGTGGGGAGAGGCTGAGCAACTCTCGAAACTTTCTCTGTATTTCACTGGGGTTATTTTGTCCCGATGTGTATGGAACAGTTTCTGTCCCGGCCCTTGGTATGACCCAGGGCAAGTCCTTCCTCTTTCTGAGTCTCACTTCCCTCCTTTTGGAAACGGGGAGAGCAGCCCTGGCTTGCAGAGACTGTAAGGATTCAAGGAAGGCTTTAGGGGCTCCAAAGCAAACCCCGCTGCCCCTGATACCCTCCCCCACCCCATACCCCCAAGCCCCTCACCCTGTGATCTTGACTGAATGAGTCCCATGCCGGCGGTATCGCTCTGGCCTCCCAAGGCTCACTGGTGTGTGGCTGTAGATACCACTCTGGTACAAGAAGAAGTCCTCATGCACCTCCATAAGAGCTGAGGGCAGACATCAAAGTAGGGCCTGCTCAGCCCGTTGGCACAGGCAGTGATGCCTGTCTGGTGCTGTGTGATGGGCCTCTCCACACTGAGACTCTAAGTATCCTCTCCAGGTGCTGCCTGCAGGGAGGGGACGTGGCTCCGCCACTCCAGGCCCCGCTGGACCTGCTGCTCAATGCTGCACAGACCACTCGTGCCACTGTACCTAGTGTCAAACACAAGCTTCTGGAACCAGGGTGCAGGATGACGGGCATTTACCTTGGACTGGGCCATTCTCCATCAGCTCCTTCATGATCTCCTTCTCCTGGAGGATGGGGAATGGGGTGAGTGCATCCAGTAGGGGTGAGGATCCAGCCTTTAGCTAACCTCCCAACCCTTCCGCCTCTGCCCCCCTCACCCAAGTGCCAACTTACGTTGGAGCCCAGGCGGTAGACAGGAGTGACTTGGTAGATGTCATTGGCATGGACGTGGCTATTGGGACAGCGGGCAGTGGCCTGGCGCTTGCCTCGACCCATGGCCCGGCTGTGCATCATACAGCGGGGTGCGGGGCCAGCCTCGTCTCGCTCATGGCCAGAGAACGGGTAGCAGTGGTCAGACACCACCCTGGAGAGGCAGCAAGAGGGTTAAGGGCAGAGTGACCCAGTGCAGCATGGTCCAGGCCCTACCCACCGGGGCCTTGCCCTCTTCCATGCCCACATCCTCTGCTGCATACCCTCGGCGACGCAGGAACCACCAGGCACCATCGAGACGCCCACCGTGGCAGCCCTGCTGGTGGTGGGTATCACATGACAGCAGGTTCTGGGGCGACAGGACAGGCGTCATATGTCCCAGGGAATGGATTGACACACGATCAGATGCCACAGCTGTGGAGGGAGGCAGAGCGGCTGTCAGGGGCTGAGGCCTTGGCCTTCCTTTCCCACAGTGCCGGCCCCCGCCCTTGGCCATACCTGCTGTGGAGAAGGCCCAAGAGCCTGCACAGTTGCCCTGGTCAAGAGGCTCGTGGATCATGTTGGGCCACTTCTTAGAGGCCTCAAAGGCCTTGGGAAGCACCTCCCCTGGACCCAGCACTGTCTGCAAGACAAAGATCACCCCATCTGCTTCCTTCTCTGGCCTGGCCTTCCCCTCAGGGGTCCTTTGGCATTGGAAGGCCACCGAGAGTCCAGGGCTTTCCGTAGCTTGATCTTGAGCCCACCTGCTGCTGGGAGATTCCAGCTACCTCCAACTTGGACTTGAGTGGAAGAACCAAGCACCACTTAGTGCCCCCAAAGTAGGTGGGGGTGACTAGTCCTGGTTCACAGAGAAGACAGCTGAGACCAGAAACAGGCAAGTGGCCAGGCCAGTGTCACTCAACTTTCCATCCTCAAGTCCTGACTCTGTCCTTTGCACCTTCTGATCGGCCACGCCCTTCTTCCCACCAGGGCCTTGGGCTTCAGGCCCCAGAGGACAGGAGGGAAGAAGCAGTGGGTCCCGTGACCGGGCAGGCTGCCAAGGCAAACAGTGGGAGGCAGAAAACAGCCAGAGGCCCAGGGGAGTGAGGACAGGGCCAAGGGCCGGTCACCTCAGCCCCTGGCTGAAGTCTCTGCAGAGAGGGCCACTCCTGCCAGCCCTGGCCTCTCCCTGCCGGGGCCGACAGCCAGACCCTCCAGCATGTGCCCAGTCCAGGCCTGCTGGAGCTCCCCTTTCTCACCCATTGGCTGCTTGGGGCTTGCTTCCCTTTGTTCCCTCAGAGGGTCCCACTATTGGGAAGGGAGAAGCTCTCTTCTCCCTTGGGGTTCCACGGAGTTGGAGTCTGTTTCCAATAATTGTTGCCCTCTGGCCAGAGCTAGAGGAGTGTCTGTCCCTCCCTTCCCAAAATACCAAGGTGACCTCTGGCCCCGTGGGCCCTGACCCAGCTGTACTGGGACCAACAACATTTTTCCCAGGCTAGAGAGGCCAGAAGGGGCTGGGGCGGGATGACAAAACTCAGAATCTGAGCATCAGTTCTTCCAGTGCAGTGCATTTTGTTACAGGCAGGAAACAAAGACCCAGAGAAGGAGAGTAACTTGCCCAGGGACACACAGCGTCTGAGTAGGGGATAGGCCCAGGCCCTTGGAGGAGCAGGCCACAGGTACCAGCATCCCTGAGTCCTAAACCATGGAAAGATGGCGGGATTGGGGCAAGGAAGGACTTACATAAATCTCATTCATGTTCATGACGGAGGAAGATGGGCGGATGGTGCCCAGGCGGTAGCGAATGCCCTCATCCAGGGTCATGCCCCAGAAGGCGCTGTGGTTCCCGGCCTGCCACCTGAAGGAGAGGGGACGGAAGGAAGTCACAGAACTGCCAAGGCTCGGGGAGCTGAGAGTTCGTGCACATGGGAGGGAGGACACACCATGCTAAGAGCACACACAAATAAACTGTGAATGTAGGCGGGCCTGACTGGACATGCACCTTGGGCAGAGAGTGTGCATTTGTGCATGTGAGAACATGTGCCCACTGGGGGACATGTCCAGGGCCTCACCCGTAGTTGCCCCGGTTGATAGCGTTGATCGTGTCTTGGTCCACCAGGCATGGCTCCTGGTCACACTCCCAGCGCCCTATCTCCAGACAGGTGCTGGCGAGAAAAGGAGGGAGAGAAAGCGTGAGTGGGGGCTGGGGGCCTCGGAAGGGATGAGGTCTCAGAGACCAACATGGGCTAGAATTCTGGACCAGCAGCTATGGGGGAACTCCTCGGTGCTCCCATCCAGTCTGGTCGCTTTAAATGTCAACCTCACCTGCACAATTCTCAGATCTCTGCCACCCAGACCTTTCAGGAACTCCAGAGTCAACATGAACACTGGGGTGCCTGACAGCAGGTCAGACATAACACACCCCAAACCGAATTCCTGATCTCCCGTTCCTACTCTCCCCACCACAGTCCTCAGAAAATGGCACTCCCTCCTTCCTGGAGCTCAGGCCAAAATCCTAAGAGTCACCCTTGACTTTCTGTCCCATGCTGATGCAATTCATCAACAAATCTGGTGAATCTACCTTAAAAACACACCCAGAATCCAAGCCACTCTCATGCTTTCCTGCAGCAACCAAGTACCAATCACCTTTCACCTGGATTACTGCTGTGGCCTCCTCACCCGGTCTCCCTGTGTCTGCCCCGTGCCGCTCCCACCCCCAGTGTATTTTTAACGCAGCTGCCAGAGTGATCCTGCTAAACCTAAGTCATATCATGCTGTTCCTCTGTCCCCAACTCTTCATTGGCTTCACATCACAGAACAGCAGCCAAAATTCTTACAGTGGCAAGGCCCTGCCCGGTCTGCCCTCCTGCCCCCTCTCTGACCCCCTTCTCCTCCCAGTCCTGGTTCCAAGCTCCACCTAGGCTGGCTGGAATAGTCCACATCAGCCATCCCCTGCCCCAGGACCTTTGAGTGGCTCTTCCTCCTGCATCCCTACGGTTCACTCTCATTTCCTCCAAGTCTTTATTCAAATGTCACCTTCTCAGGGAGACCCCCTCTGATCCCCCTATCTTAAAATTCAACACCTTCTATACTTCCTATCCCACTTCCCTGTTTTATTTTTTTCCCCCTTAGGACGTCCATCACTACCTGACACAACTATATATTTAGTTACTTATATTGCTTATAATCCTCTTCTCACAGACTGAGTTCCTTGAGGGCAGGTGTTGTTTGGTATCTTCAGTGCCTAGGTAAACAAAACCTAGCACATAGTAGGCATCCAGTAAGTATTTGTGGAATGAATAAATGACTAAGCAGTATAGTGAAGTGACTAAGAGAGTCAATTCTGGGTTCCAGTCCTAGCCGACGAGTTGTAGGTTATAAGGAAAATTATTCAAACTCTCTCTCCCTCAGTGTCCTTGTCTGTAAAATGAGGATAATCACAGTACTACTTTCCAGGGGTTCCATCACCAGCTTGCCAAGCACAGGGCCTGGCCCATCATAAATGCTCAGAATTGGTAGCTACTATTATTGTTCTTGTTACAGGAACCCCGGCCCCCTTCTCTTGAGCCTCAGACTCATATCTGACTGACCTCCTGACATCTCTGTAAAAGGTCTCAACTCAAAATAGCCAAACCACCCTCCCCAGGCCTGCACTTCCTTGACATCCTCAGCTCAGAAAATAGCATCCGGTTGTTAAATTAGAGTACAGGGCCTGAGGATGGCCCATCAGGAGTCCACCTGCTTCTTGCCCCTGCACGGCGCCACCCTGCTCCCGTCCCTCCACATCTCACCCGGACCACAGCAATGGCGTCTTCAAGTCCCTGACCCCTTTCCAATTTCCCACCCCCGCCCCACCTTCCCCAAAGCCAGAGATCTTTGAACAATGTAAATCGGAGCGTGTGCTCTCTGAGTGGCTTCTCATGACACAGAACAAATACAAATTCCTTGCCACAGCTTATTAGACCCATGGGATGCGGCCTGTGCCTCTCTGGGGTCTCTCGCCATTCCAGCTCCAGCTGAAATGGGAGGTTTCTGCCTCCCAGCCTTCTCACGAGTTCCTTCCACTTAGGCCGAGCCTCTTGTCCTCTCTTCCATCCATCTCCCTGACATCAGCATACATGTCCCTTCCGCAGAGCGAACTTCCCTTCCCCTCCCCCCAAACTAGGACACCCACAATCCTCTCTTTCCCCCATAACACCTGTAACAGCTTGTAATGAGACAGGTGTGTGTGTTTTCACCACATCCTTCACCCTTCAACTAGAAGTGGGACAAGGACTTGAGCTGCATTCCAGTTGCATCCCCTGGGCCCAGCACAGTGCCTGTCGCCCATTAGGTCTTTAATAAATAGGTGTCAGTGGAAGGTTGGATTCTATGGATTCAGGGATGCTTTTACAAGCTCATAACTCTGCCATTACAAGATGCTAAACTGCCTCCTTCCAAGCTGCCCGAGGATCCCGCCTCCAATGTTGCCTTTTAAGGAGCCTCAAGGGGAAACAAGGGGAACCAAGACCCAGTATGGTTGGGCTCTTCAGCCCCGGAGCAGGCGGGGGTGCTTCCAGGGAGGGCTGAGGAACCTGCGGGGGAGGGGAGGCTCTCCTCGTCCTTCCTTGCCCCTCTGCACACTAGGCGGCTAGGCTAGACTCTCTCGAAGCATCCCTTGAGGACTCACACACCCTGGAAGGCATACAGACACTTCCCCACCCTCCCTCCAGCGGCAGGGAACACAGCCACCCAGAGCTGTCCTGAGGAGAGGACAGGGGTGGTCAGTCCTTCCCTGCCACCTCTTCCGTTGCCCCCCGGGCCGCCCACGCAGGTTTAGACAGGGCTGGTGGCAGAAGGTCCCAGCATTCCAGAGGGGGCCTGGGAGGCCGGGGACAGGAGTGAGACAGTGTTAACCCCTCAATGTCCAGAGGCATCCTATGAGGACCTGCAGAGTGGGGCGGGCATGCTCAATCCTTCTGAGCACACACAGTACGCGTGCACTCACATGGCGCGCGCGCGCGCACACACACACACACACACACACACACACACACACGCACACACACACACCCTCTCACCCAGGCACACGCTAAAAGGCTCGGGTCCCCCTCACTGTGACCCAGGCACCTCTCACCCTGTGAGGCAATGGAAACAGCTTACATGCAATGCATTCCAAAAAGTTTCCTTCTCCCTGGGGTTGTCAGTCTCAGGCAAAGAGGGATGGGGGTAGAGTGGGTGCGGGGCCTCCCCCGCCGAGTCCCAGGGTGCCCTATTTCCACGAAGGCATTCAAGGCTTCCTACTCAGCCCTTTTCTACTTCCCATCTCAGACTGAGTAGGGGGGCAGCCATGACCCCTTCCTCCTCCCTGCCGGGAATGGTGGGGACGGGCAGGGAAGGGAGGAGGGGCCATATCCCAGGGAAGGCCCTGCTGCAGGCTGGCTGGCTGCCAGCTCGGCCATCCCTGACCTTCGTCAGCACAGGGCAGCGGATGCTGTCGTCAGAGGTTTCCTTCCTGGCGCCCCCTTCTCTCCCTGACTCTCCTGTGACAGCAGGAACAGTCCAGAAGGGTAGCCCAGCCCAAGCCAGGAGGGGCAGGGAAGGACTCCCAGTTCAAGGGTGGCACCTGGGCCAGGCATTCAGGGCTACCGCTGTTGGGGAATGGTGTTGACATAGTCACTGTTAAAATTCCCATACTACAGATGAGAAAAACTGGGGCTCAGAGAAGGGAAAGGACTTCTTCCCAGCAAATGAGTGGCAAGGCTAGGATTTCAACCTAGTCTGTCAGCCATGAGGCCCACACAGCAAGCCCCCTCTGGGCCCCAGGCACTCACCAGCGGTTACAGTTGTCCCAGTAGGTACCCAAGACTGGATAGATGCGGCCTTTGTGCATGCATCCTGGTGGGAGGGAAGAGAAGAAAGAACTGGAACCAGGGCCAGAAAGGATGGTCCAAGGTGGCCAGGTCTTCAGAGATCAGGTGCCCCGAACCCTCCCAAGGTCATCTCAGACACACACACATACACACACACACACACACATCAGTCCTCACTGAAACTAAAGCCAGACTATAACTTAAGACATCTCCTGCAGGGGTACACACCAACAACAGCTGCTACTTGGGAAGTTCTTCAGTGGCTCTAACTTGGATCCCCCTTTGCCAGAAACAACATTCCTGGGATCCTTTGGCATTTAAACGAGTTAGGACTTGGAGATGGGGAGTGGGGGTGCCTTGGGAAGCCAAGGCCCAGGGAAGGTAGGCAACTCCCCTAAGATAGCACAGTACTCTGGGATGAAAACTCAGGTATTCAGTCTCTTTCCCAAAGCCCCATGGAATAGTGGGAGGGAATTCACATGATTCTCCTATTGAACAGGGGTAAGTGCGTGGCAAGGGATGACTGTGAGACTGGAAGCGGGAACAGACTTGACCTGCCTCCCAGGTACAATCAGCCACCTCAGTGTCACAGACTCCCAAGCAAAGGCAGAAGACTGGCTAAGGTGACCCTGAGCAACCCCCATTAGCCTTATCAGCCCTGGGGTGAGTCAACAGGCGGGGCCAGCACCTTCCATGTCCGGAATGGAGACAGGACTGGGAGAAAGGGCGGGCACTGCCCTTCCCTGAGCCGACTTGAAATTCTAACCACGGAGCTTCTCTCTTTGAGTCTTGCAGGAGAGAGTCTAGTTAGATCCCAGAGGGGACTTTCTAGAGAGGCAGGGAGTGGAGCAGGTCTGCTCCTGCATTCTCAAAGCCCCCCCTCCCGAAATGTCAGGCATCAGCCTTGCTCCTAAGCCTTGCTGAGTCTGGGGCAGACAGCGACCCGCCCTCCTGGCCACTTGGTGCCCACCTTGGATGGGGGGGAAAGGGGGTGGCACGCCGAGGCAGTAGTCCCAGAAGTCAGGGCAGCAGTCGGAGACGGTGCGGTTGCAGAAGAGGTCACAGTAACAGGTGACACCCAGGTAGGGCAGGGCACAGTCGTCGGCACGGCCCCGGCAGCACATATCCTGCTCCTGGCAGTACCGGCCGCCCGCGTCCCGGATGCCCCGCAGGTGCAGACCCGGTGCCAGCTCCCGGCGCTCACGACCCTGCTGGGCACCCAGTGCCACCTGGCCAGCCAGCAGCAGCAATGGCAGCAGCCCCGGTGGACATCGCCACATGGTGCCTCCTGGGCCCGGGAGGGCAGAGGGCAGGGGTCAGAGGTGGTACACCAGGAAAGGGCTCCCAGCCTCCTGGAGCTGTGAGCTGCCTTAGGGCCCAGCAGGGGGGGAGACCCTGATTTCTGAATCCCCGGGCAGGACCTGGGCAGAGGAGCCACCTTGTGCGTGCCCTGGCTTACAGGGGGAAGGCAACCAGGCAGGAACAGAGCTGCTCCCTGACCTGCCTAGGGACCTTCAGGGACAAGGAAATGGGGGTGGTGGCCCTCTTGGTGGCCCTGCCCAGCACCCATTCTTCATACCCAAGGTCCCTCTCCTGACTGGGTCCCTCTGCCCTCCAGCAGCCTCCATCTCTGGCTTGGGTCCTTGACTTTGTGCCTTATGTCTCCCCAGGTCCTCCCGGTCTTCCTCGCTGTGCCCCTCTGCCCCCCACTGGCCCTCTCTCTGCCATCTGTCTGGTCCCTGGGCCTGCCGCCTCCTCCTCTCTGCTCCTTCTCTGTCTACACCTTCCGCCCTCTGTGCAGGGGAACGTCCCTACCTGGTGAGGGTGTGGGCTGGGCCCGCGCTGCCCCACGCGCCTCCGCCTCCTGGCTCTGCGACCGCCGCCGGACACTCAAAGTCAAGTGAGGAACGCGGGGCGGGACGCTTTTTGTACCGCCCCGCCGGCTGCACCGCCCCAGCCTGCCCGCGGCAGGAGGGAGGGGCCGGCTTGTTCGCACCTGGCGTAGTTAGCCCATAACACAGGACTGTGACTTCGGGTGACCCCCCACCCAGCGACAAACGCGTGATTGTGCTGGCTGAGTCTCTGCTGGTGGAAGCCGTTCCCTTAGGGAGAACCCCAGTAGTATGGAATGTGGTCTGACACCGGGAAGGACTTCCCAATGGGTTTCACTGTAGGACTGAGGGGCTCTGGCAGAGAAGCAGAGGGGGATCAGCCGAGCTCCTGGATACAAGTTTGGGAGATGATGGGGAAGATGTTGGAGGCAGAGTTCTCTAAGCCCCCTCTGACCCCTCGGTAATAAAAACAGCCATGCACGCCCCTCTTCACTGAGTCCCCCCAGGCTTGCCCCTATATGCCGTCTCAGCTCCTAGGAATGCTTGGAATCCCGAGGGTGCTGGCTCAGGACCCTGCAGGCCCCTGGGCGCTCATCCCCAGGAGGTGGGTGTGGTGTGGGGGCGGCCTCTGTACCCGCACCCCCTTGGTGAGTCTGCCCTCCCCTGTCAGCTTGGGCACCTCGCCAAGCACTGCCCCCTCCATCAAACCCAAGGGCATCCTGCTTGGCACCTGTCTCCTCTGCGGCCCAAAGGCAAGAGCCCTGCCAGCTGGCACCCCCTACAGAGCCCCTCCTTCCTGCCCCAAGCATAAACCCTTCCTTTGCCCAGGCTGGCCTGGGCCCCAGACAATAGGGCTTCTGTCCCGCCCGGTCGCTGTCACCTCTTACCTTCCCATTGTGCAATCCCCTTTTTCAACTGGGCTCAGGCCAGAGGACTCCACCAGCAGGGAGGATGACAGAGGCCACACCTGGACAGACCCCCAGCCCCAGGCTTGAGCCTCAGATGCCATCCATGGGGAGGCATCCGGGATTCCCTTTGCCCTCTCACTGACCTCTTTGCACCCTCCCCCAGCCTAGGGGCATCTGCAGATGGCCAGATCCTGGGGAGGGGAAAGAAACCAGGACAATGGGCACCTATGGCTGAGTTACCCATGCCAGGGGGCACTGGGTAGTGAGTCACCGAGGGGGTCCTGCCCTGGTGGGGGAGGTGGGCGATTATATCCTGGGGCCCCAGTGTTGGCTCTAATACACCCAGGAGCTGCCCATCTGCTCTCTGCAGAGACCTGCGAGGACAAAGCCCCAGATGAGAAACGGAGGCTTAGAAGAACACACTTGCTGAAGGTCACACAGGCAGAACACAAGCTGCCTGCCTCCCACCAACCCATTCCTTTACCCCCAGTCACCCTTCAGGTCTCCACAACTCTCCTGGTTGGGAAGTTCCTTTTCATATCTGACCTCCATTCATCTTGCCGCAAGCTGGGCCCCTCGGTTTTGGTAAATCCTCAGAGTAAGAATGGAGGCTACCTTCAGGAGATCTCATGCCCAGGGTGCCTGCTGTCATGGTTCTGGGGCTGGGGGCTGGTCCAGGGGCATCTGGCCTATCTTCTGCCCAAAATCGCCACAGGAGGCTACTTGTGTGGCTCTGTGTGTGTTGTGTGTGTATACCCATGTGTGGCTCTGAGTAGCTGTGATTGCGAAGCACTCACTACACATCTGTGTGTCTGTGTATCTGGATGTTTTGGCTGTTGGCCTGTCCTTGTCTGTCTGTGTCCATTTGTCCATCCATTTACCTGTGTGTCTGCTATGTGCCACTGCATCTGTGTGTATGTATCTGCCTGGAGGCCGTCTCTGTGTCAGTTATCTGTCTGTCAGTCAGCGTACTATCTGCCTGTACTTGCGTGCTTATTGGCTTGTGTGTCTGTGTGTGGAGCTGTATGGCTGTCCCGTCTGTGTCTGCCAGTTTACGAGGTGCCTGTCTAAGGGACACAGCAGGGGAAAGGAACAGAGCCAGAGCATCCCCATCATCATGGCGCTTGGCACAGAGCCCGCCCCTGTGAGTCTCTTGACTCACGGGGCTCTTTGGTCAAGGAGGAGAAGAGGGCCAGGGCCGGGGGGCTGAAGAGCCCCACTTTCCCTGTCCAAGACCCTTTCCCTCCTGGTAACGCATTCTCTGACTTATTCCTGCAAGAGTGGGGCCTTGTGCAGGGAATTGGGACAGAGCAACAGGTGGAGACACCAACAAGCGTCCTGCTGAGCCCTTCAGCCTTCCTGAGATGCAGGTGGCCTGGGAGTCTGTGGTGATTGTCATCCCTGAGTCGTAATCCCAGCAGTGCTGCCCTCTCTGGGTCTTGGTTTTCATCTCTGCCCAGATGCTCCCAGAGGCCCGCTCATGCTTTCTTCTGTCTACAGGGGGAGGTGAAGCCAGGAAAGGACAGTGACATGGCCAAGGACACACAGCAGAGCAGAGGACCAGGCCTCCTCTCCAATCCCTAGAGGTCCAGACTCCCCCTCCCCCAAACCCTCACCCACTGGGTGCTGAGAATTGGCCTTTCTCTTTGGGGGGCTGGGCAGAGTCCTCTGGGAAGACAAAGACCCATTGTCTGCTCCACCCAGGCCTCTGGCTGAGGACCCAATACTTGAGGCCTGGGTTCAGATGCTTGGGTTGCAAACAGTATTCCAGCCAAGGCTAAGTTTTCCTCGTAGCTCCCTGTGGTCATCCGGACATGTCCAGAACTCAGAGCACCACTGCTTGGGCCTGAGTCTGAGATGTGGTAGCATGTTGGGTTATATTGTGATATGTTGGGCTTCCTGGGGCCTGTCTGACTGTGTTATAGAAAGCACCCCACAATGGCTGGGCGCAGTGGTTCACACCTGTAATGCCAGCACTTTGGGAGGTGGAGGTGAGATAACTGCTGCTTGAGCTCAGGAGTTCAAGGCCAGCCTAGGCAACATAGCAAGACCTGTCTCTACAAAAAATTAGCAGGGCATGGTAGTGTGTGTCTGTAGTCCCAGCTACTCAGGAGTTTGAAGTAAAAAGACCGCCTGAGCCCAAGAGTTTGAGGCTGAACTGGTGCTCATGCCACAGCACCCCAACCTGAGTGACAGAGTAAGACTTCGACTCAAAAAAAAAAAAAGAAAAGAAAGAGAAAGAAGCTCCTCCCCACCCCCACCCTGAAGGCTGTATGACAGAGCACACTGGAGCTTGTGACAGATGAGATTCCAGGCATGTGGAAGGGTGTTGTGCCATGCTACAGCATGCTTTACTGTTTGAGTTTCTTATTCATTCAACAAATATTTGTTGAGCATTTACTATGTGCCAGGCTCTGTGCAAGGTGGAGTGTTCAGTGTTAAAACAACAGACACAAGTCTTGCTGCTGTGAAGTTTGCAATCCAATGAGAAGATAGACAAATACATAAGCAAAACAGTGGAAACCCGGTGCTAAACTATTCATAGACAACCTGCTTCTGGGTTGGGGTTTCCTACATAGCAGAGCGGCTCCCTCCCTGTGATCTATTGAAAGTCCGCCCTGGTCTGTCGCAATGGCTCAAGCCTGTAATCCCAGCACTTTGAGAGGCAGAGGTGAGAGGATTGCCTGAGCAGCATGACGAGACCTCATCTCTACAATAAATTTTTAAAAATTAGCTGGGCATGGAGGTGCGTGCCTGTGGTTCCAGCTACTTGGAAGACTGAGGCAGAAGGCTCGCCTGAGCCCAGCAGGTCGAGGCTGCAGTAGCCATGAATGTGGCACTGCACTCTCCAGCCTGTGTGACAGAGTGAGATTCCGGAAAAAAAAAAAAAAAAAAAAAAAAGTCAGCCCTCAACACAAGAGCTTATAGAAAAAAAAAGTAAAAAGAAAGACAAAACAAACAAACAAAAAACCAAAAAAAAACCCCACACAGATCAAGAAGTCATCCCAAAATGTGAATTGCTAGGAAGGCGTGTACACAGTGTAAGGATATAGAGTATGATGTGGTGGTCAGGGTGGCCTCAGAGAGGAGATGATATTTGAGCTGAGGCCTGAAATTTCATAAGGAAGCAGCCATTCCCAGAGCCCAGGGCAGTGTGTTCCAGGAAGCCAGATCAACATGAGCAAAGGCCCTGAGACCTAATACAAGTTGGTCAGCTTGAGGAGCGGAAAAGAGCCCAGAGAGGCCAGACGGCTGTGGGTGAGGTGGACGGAGGAGCAAAAGGAGTCTGGGACGAGGCTGGGAGCAGAATGGCCGGGCTGTAGTAAGAGCTCCAGTTGTCTTCTGACCAAGAAGATTTACAAGTGAGAGTGATGTGATCTGATCTATATGTGCTAAAGTCCACCCTGGCTGCTCTGGAGAGAACAGATGACTGCAGGGTAGACGAGGATCCAGAGAGGCCGAGGCAGGCAGAGGTGTCACCCAGGCTGGAAATGCTGAGACTGGAGCTAGGCTGGTGGCAGTGGCGGTCAGGAGAAAAGGACCTATCTGAGGCATATTCCAAGACTTGTGGAGGGATCAGAGGTGGCATGTGAGAGAGAGAGGAAGTCAAGGAAGACTTCTGGGTTTCTTGCCTGGTAAGTTACAGATGGCTGCACATCCCTGCTTCCCTTCTTCTTGGATCTGGGTGGAC